GGAAAACACCGTTGCGCGTTGAGCCAACATTAATCGAAGGGATCAACCAACCAATCAAGCGGCCGACACTATTCAGTTAAAATAGTTGGAAAATTCAATGACCCCCCCCCCCCCCACATACCCGTCGAGTTGCTGTGCGACTTGCGATGCATGCCATAGGTAGCGCATAGTTTCAAACGCAATTTTAAATGAAGTGAGTCGAGAACACTTCAACATATTACACACTTGAAAGAGACATGAAATTAAAAGATGTCTTGCACATATCTACCAGCCTCCATGTCCCGAAGAACTTTTGATGACAATGCCCACAATAGGCAATTGCTATTCTATAGAGTTAGAGAAATATAATGTATTAGTTTAGCAATAATATAATAACAACAGTAGAGCGCGCACAGCATGGCAGCACAAAGGCCAATGCCTCAGGACATGCTTGCCTTTAGATGGTGTCCAATGCATGACTAATTTTACGGAGTCAGAATAGCGACTTGTGTGCCGAGACGTTCTTTCTGTCCGAATTCAGTTCGAAATGCCACTGGGCTCTTCCTCAAGGGAACCAGAGATGGCCAAGCAGGTAATAAGGCTCGTAATTCCGTCGATAGCTTGAACAGTCTGTCGACGCAGGCCTTACAGTAGCCTTATGGCGGAGGGATGAGTCAAACCTATTCAGTGACTGTCGAGAATCTCTCCTAAAACAACGATTGAGACAATAACGATTAGAAAGCCAGTATGACGGATCAGTACAGACTACGCAAGGGGCGGCATCAACAAGGTGAAAATAGGGGGCGGCATTTCGAGGACGCTGGAGAAGGGAGACGGCTTAGAAGGACGCACGATACAGATAAATTTAATTGAAAAGATAGCGCAAGCTGGCGGCAGGCTGCGCAATGGACGGTTTTCCTTGTTGTCAACCTATTGAAATTGACTACAGAAGCTGGCAGCAGTGGTTGAACAGCTTGCCAATGGTGGGCGGGAAACATAGAGACCGGCTAAGAGAAGCCACCCAAGGAAAAAGGAACATCCTACGACGAAACTATCAACGAAGTAACCGGCGTTCCCGTCGCCGGTGCTACAGGAGATGTTTTCTATCATTCGAAGTATATCTCTTCAATCTAACTCGCATTCTTTGGTCGACGCTGTCTTTCCGTATCTTTTTCATTCCTCTGGTTTTTTTTGCTGCCTTTTTTGTCCGCAGGCACACTTGCGCTGTCTCTCTCTCTCCGGTTTTTTCAGCACCTCCGCTTCCCAGCCAGTGGGTTTCTTTCATCAGTCACTACGTCTTCGAGCTGCTACACTGGACCTCGAGTATTTTTCGGTCGAGCTCGAAAGGCCAATGACGACAACATGAACAGACGAGTGGACCAGTTTCTTTTAAGGATAGCAGGTCAACCCTCAATGTAATATTAGCAGATTTTTCTGTCAGAGGATGTTGGTTATCTGTTTAAATGACTAGCTACATCACAGGCCGGTTGGTGACTGTATCCTGGAACAGTTGTTCTGCAGCTCAAGCTTAGTTGCAATACTAGGAAGATGTAATTTATAAAGGATATGAGAAGCATCTAAGTAACTCATAAACAAAATAGAAAAATAGAAAACAAATAGGACAAAAACAGAAAGACGAGAAGCGTTTGGGATTACGTGCGGAAGTCTTAGGTGACGAATTTGGTGGCAGGCACAGCTCTTTCCTGTTTGAGGATTAAAACGCGGCCAGCGTCCCGAAAATCCCTGTGTGCTAAGAACAGGACTAACCAGGAGACGAACGCGGGGGCTTTAAGTAGGCTCGTCCAACTTCACCTTCGTTGGCCCCCTTGGATGCGTGGGCCACTTGCAGCGAAGGTGACACACTTAGAAGTGATAACAGTAGCCGCAACGGTACCGGTGTGGTGATGGTGGTCGAAAACGGGAGTTAAAAGATGCGACAAGAACACAATAGAGAAAAATTGTTCTTGTGAAAAAAGCCGGAGTAGTAGCACCAGCAGCAGCAGCTGTAGCACAAACCTGACAGCTTAGCTATACTGCTGCAGCACAAACGCGAAAATAGAGACTGCTTTAATACAGAAGAAAAGAAGGAAAGCTTTGAAGAAAAAAAACACGGAGTAGAAACTGGGGTAAATAAGAGAAATGAAAATGGCGAACTTTGAACGAGGTTTTCTGACGCGAATAGAGCGAGAAAGGAAAACCGAAAAAAGTGTGTGAATCATTCGAATCATCGACGGCAGCGTAGGCGTTAGAAATGACTACAATTTTCAGAGGGAAGGTAAATAAAAAGTAGTCGAGGAGCAACGTCGTCGGCACGACCCCGGCTGAAGCTACGTTTTGCTGAAGGGCTAGGGGCTTCCATTGACCCCAGTAGGTAGAAACAGGGATGTGAAAAAAGCTGCTTTTGTTCACTGTCTATCAGTGAAGACAACGAATCGCGCATCAGTAGGAAAAGGAGTAAGGACTAGGGAGGCGGTAAAGGCTAGGATAGGAAAAAATATGGCTTCGACCAAGCAAAGCGATGTAGAGCTGAGGAAATACCAGAGCAAAGGCTGAAAGGAGAAAATCCATTGTGAGAACGATCTACTCCCCTGAGGTGTCTGCGTATCTTTTGCTTCTGTGTATAAGCAGCATATACATGCGCGTAGAGTACGCGACAACTAAGCCTGGAAGGAAGATGGAGTTCGAGAAGGAGTGCGCAAACCCTACCACGCTTATTCATTGAGTAAACGAAGAAAGACTGACGAGAGATAGGTAAAAAAAAAAAGCACAATAAAATCGTAGCGTTACTTATGTGATGCAAACGTTTGTGAGAATACAAGCAATACACACGCCGAGAGAAAACGTATTTAAAGAAAACGGTAGGGCTTGTCAGACGCTGCACTATTGACGAAGTTACAAGGGGTGGAATGGCAAGTAGGATGATTATTTGATACTAGGATAAACGATGTAAGGGCTAAGAGAAGGACCAGCATATACAATATGGTTATACTAAAATAAAAAAAAAAAGAAGGAGAGACGGTAGTTTGATCATTTGTAAGCTTTCGTTAAGGTCTAACGGATATCACCTACGTTTGTGGGGCTATATAGTCGGTGGACGAAGGCACGGACTACGTAGCCCTTTGCGTTAATTTTTAACAGGCCTCTAAACAATTTAGAGTAACTAACATAATGAAGCCTTATTTTTTGATTGAACTTTTAGTTGAGTATTAGTTTAAATAGGTGGCACCTAGGCCTTCTTCAATCATGAGTCTAATTATAAAGTTCAATATGCTCCATTAAGTAATCATTGTCTGTGCGTGCAATTTTGTGGGTGTAGATTTCGAATGTTACTATAGTTTACACTTAGGCCTACTAAAGCTCTACGTCAAAGGTGATGTTTTAGAAACAGCTCAAGAACGGTGGGTGGAATCATGAAACAGTAAAAAAAAACTGTGCACGGTTGTCCGCCTAACAATTTTAATGTTCAACACGCGTCTGTTCAAATTCAAACCCGTAGTGCACTATTATTCACGAAATAAAAGAGGTAACTATAATCTACAGGCATGGCTTGAGTTCCTATCCTATGTACTACTAGCTCAACGATAGTTTTAACTGCTTTCTCCTTATAAACTAAAAAGTCTAGGCAAAAGTGGCCTACAGGTCAGTCAGGGTCTCGTACTTTGGCCTCTACTGTTTCTAGGTTCCTGAACTCCCTTGTGACTGAAGCGCGCTACAAGCGGTCACTACATCCTCCTTTTCTATTTGACCGCCTTAATGTCCATCCTGCTTCCTAATTCACAATCGTAAAAAGGGCGACAATGACTCGAAAGATCAAAGAGTACTAGACGGTCATCACCAACGCTGACACGAGTCAACGCTGCTTTGCAAGGTTTTCCGCTATTTCTTAAAAAGAAAGATCAAATAGGCCAAAATACAGATGACAGGCATGCTGAAGCTTTTGGGTTTTTGAATGCAGCTTTCCTTACTTACAACTTCAGGCTGGGTCTAGCGCTCTTGAGAAAGAAACATGCTTATACATGAGGATATATATACAAGAGGACAAAGAAAAAGGAAAGGCGTCAGTTTCTCCTGCGACTTGACACATCTAAAGGGAATACGATAGAACGACGTCCACGAGGGACAACGACGATAAAAAACTGTGATTGCATGGAAAAGCCAGAGGGTAACAGAGAGAATTGGGCGACTCTTTTATGGGGTTATGTCGATGGTCGTAGCCAGCAGGAACCGCAGCTGGCGATTGGAAGTATCAGCCCGGATTTTGCCGGGAAAAGTAATGAAGTAGCAAATGGAATAAATGTTGGGCAGGGCAGGGCAGGGCAGGCTCTCGAATGAAGGATACATATTGAGAGGTTGGAAGAGTATAAAGTGCAAGTCTGTGAACTGCTAAAAATTATTTTCGAGAAAAGTTCGTAATTGACGAATAGAAGTGTATTTAGAACCATTGAGCACGCTAATCAACTAATGAACCAAATCAAATTATCTTTACCCTGAGTATACACACTGCGGAGGACCGGTGTGCTGCTTAGTATGAAAGATATAAGGCCAGCGTGAAGACCCGAAGTAGATTGCATACTCGATGGGGTTTCTTAAAGGTAATGCCTAGCTCGGTGCAGCATGAAAATCAAACTTAAAATATTATATTAGATCTGTAGATGAACTGCAATTGTAATTCAGTCTTTTCTAAATAATAGCAATGGCTCGTTTTCAAGTTCACTGATACACTTTCCAATGTTAACAGCTACGTCGAGATGATACCTGAATAAATTTACAACTGTCTCTATATAATTATGTGTGTTTAAGAATAAAGTAATCCATAATGTTCGCTTTATATATCGAAAATGTACTTTGTTCTGTAGAGCAAATCACGAGTCAGTTTCATAAGCTAGCTGGGTTCCATAGTGAAAAAATCTGGCCTTGAATTATATAATAACGAGACATTTAATCTGTATCCCTTTATATTGCTTGTTAATCAGAGCACTCGTGTAGATAAAGGGCAGCTCGTCATAGCGACTAAACGGTAATATCCATTATTAGTGATAGCTTTAATATCAACTAGTTCAACCTGGTTACCGCATTTTCCTAATGTCCCTTTCAATTGTATCTTCTTCTTGCGCTGCTATTCGCTAAAGCAAGCTTTCACCATTTCCTACCAGCGGTTGACAAGATGATTACTTAACCGGTATACGTTATTCTGTGGGAAGAGATGCTCTTTGGGAAAGGGCGGTAAGCATTCCAGTATCCCCAGTAATTTCGAAAGAAAAAAATAGCAAAGAAAAGGAGTGAATGGGTGAGTAAAAGCGGAGTTAAGAAGGACCAGGCCTGTCAGGAGTTCGTCTAGCTCCAATAAGCGCCTGCCATGCCTGCGTTCGCTTTGCCAAACTACCTGCCTTCAAGCTACTCAACGGCGGGGGTGGCGTTGTTCCACCGAAGTCTTGGCACCACTGCTGGCGCCACAGCCTCTACTGCCACCTCCGAATAGAAATTTACTATATCCGCCTTTAATAGACGACAAAACAGGAGAGCGGGCTGCAAGAGCTGCTGACGGCGTAAGCGGCGGGCAGGTCAATAGTCCGCGAGTGAGTTTGTTTTTATGGTGAACGGTAAATATAATAAAGCGAAAGACGACGAGGAAGGCGGCAAAGCTGCTGGTTGGAGCGGTCCAGCTTAAAGCTTTAGGAGACTTCAGGAGTCCGACAGTGGGCAGCATTCGCGTCAGAAGGTGGGAGAACAAACGACAGGGAAGTATGACAGCGGTCGGCCGAGGTAGCAGCTACAGTAGCGGCACTGAGACCCCGAAGCGCTGACTATTGGCGTCGGCGTTCTGGGCAAAAGCACAGAACAGCAGGGGTTTCGCGTCCTGCCCTATAAAGAGTGCCAGGTAAGAGAGAGACTGGAGGTGGAGATGTAAGTCATTCCTTAGGGTGGTGTTCATTAAAAGCTCCCTTAGCGTTCAGGCCTCGACGCTAGGCCAGACAAGAGCTAGCAGGCGGAAACGGGACTGACGGCTGGACTTGAGCGGGTGAAAGCGAAGGGAGTGATAAGAGGGGGAGGAAGAGGTTTGTGCAGAAAGAAGCTTTCCGTATGAAAGCCGCGCATGGTCCTCATAGGCCAAGGTGCTTCTAGGTAGACCTGAAAAGGAAACTTAAGGAAAAGGAAGGTTAAGTGGGGTTGAGTGAGGTTGAGTGGAAAAAATAGGTAGGCAGCCACCAGGAGGATAAGATGGCCACCGGACTACGAAGATGGGACATACCCCACGAAATTGCGAAAGTGATGACATCGAAGATCTAACTGCGCTGTCTTCGTGTGTCGTTCTATAAAAAAAAAAACTATATGGTATATAAAAGACCTATGATTCAACCTAGTGAATAATTCTGGTTTACTCAACTAGTTCAGTACTTAAGCAAATACAAGCTGCTTTTACCAAATGCTATATGAACTGCATGCTCCGGCCTGCCGGCAGGACGATCTTATTTCTGCCTCTTCCTCTCCCCGTACAAGACGTACAACTGTGAAAAAGGACCACCTTCGAGTTCGCATCTCGGTTGCTCTGTCCGCATGTTACAACCCTGCTGTTGTTGCTGAGTTTCCCGAACTGCAACTGGTCGACCAAACTCTCGTACGTAGGTCATAATACATCGTAATTTTTAACGGGGAGAAAGCGGTCACATAGTCAAGCTGCCGCTTGTAATCAGCTGGTGTCAGGAAGGGGTGCGTTCCTTGCAAGATGAAAAAATAAGGGGACGAGGCGTGAGGGGAGAGTTAAAGTCAAACCGGCCAGTCATGACAACGATAACAAGCAAGCAGGTAATAAGCAAAACGTATATGACACCTTTTTCTCAACTACCTAAACGGCTCGAGCAACTGATTTTCAGCGATAGGTATATAACTCATCGCAGTTTACCGCGACATTTTGAGCGGGTGGACAGCGATAGATGGAGTATACGATGCATTAGTGATTTTAAGCGAACGATTGACATGTACACAATGATCAAGGCAAAAGGAACAACCTGTAGAAGTAGATTTTTTTTAGTTTTGAATTTGTAAATAAAAAAGTGAAGTTTTTACTTATGAAATGAATTACAACATTTTAAATCTGTGGCGAATATTTTAAAAGCAAAAAGCTTGCATTATGCAAAGGCGAAGCAACGATATTTTAGTTTTTATAAGTTTTGCTTGTTCTTATTTTATACTGTTCACCGATTCTCATTCTTTACACTGATACTAGCTGGGCAATCCAGTCAGCTCTCTGATTAAATCGTTTTTAATTAACAAATCATATGTAGGTTGAAAACCATGCGGTGTAGGCTCAATATACGCGATGCCTTCATTAGGTGTACATTAAGATGTTATGTGATCTCATAAAATAGCAAATCATAAACACTGAAGAGCTTTCAGAGGCAATCGCATTGGAAAATCTGCCCAAAACGAAAGCCGTAAAAAATGCCATTAATTCAATCTCGTAGCCCTCTAGTTAGTTTAGAAAAATGCCGGAACCATATAAGTTATGCGCTCAAATTGAGTACTGAGAAATACTATTTTCTATGGTCTATTTGAATGTTGAGCGAAGTTATGAACTAAACGCGCTTTAAGGCCTAGTCTAGGGATAAATAGCATAAGATTCAATAAAGACATCAATAGTTCTCACATAAATTTGCTTTAAATAATTTTCAATTGGAGTCGCACACCGAATATTGTAGGACCAATTGATGATTATAGCCATAAGGAAAAATTCTCAACAAACATGAGCATCAACTGTACACTACGCTGGCCAATGAGACATGTCTGTCAAGTGTTGATATGAAAAAATAATAGGTAATTGACCTGAACCCGTGCTAACTTAAGTTGACGAGCAGATTATCGTTACCGATTGCCGAGTCTTACCCTTTAACGTAAAAGACCTTACAAACGAACCATCGAAAATACTAACACCCTAATCTTATAATACATAACTATATTTTACTGCTTATTGCCAATGACAAACTCGTCGGCCTGCTGCCGCTCATTGCTGCAAACGTCGTGACGCCGTAAGCCAGCTCATTATGAAGGTTTGTCCCCTACAATTATGAAAAATAAGTTTTTGCCTAGTATAGTAGTAGTAGTAGTAGTAGTAGTGGTAAGACCTAAGTATCTCAACACTGGTTGTCGGAAGGCCTAATTCATTTTAACTTGATTAGAAGTTACTGTAAATCTGTTAATTACTATATCAGACATACTGCTTAGCTGTCTAGGCGATCGAACTTACGTATGCGGAGTGGGGCGCTTGAATCTCATTATATTTTAAACTTATCGGGCTTAGGGATATTATTATTATTACTACTATTGTTATTATGTTTCGATACAAGCTTTTACTGTATATTTACCTCTGGCTTCCGCTCCGTTTAAAGACACTTATTTACTATAATCTCTTTTATCAAAGAAGCATACAGTATGACATGGAACTGCTAATTCATTAAGCTACAATATCTATTTGTAAGCACCACTACATTCCTCAAGTTGATCAATGTCACTTCGTTACAAGTTTGTAACAATGGTTTACTCACTTATTGTCAAACGTTGAGTACAGCCTTACGAGAAATGTACGAGGAATTTTCGAGGAATTTCCTTGAGACCAGGCAAGGCAAATAGGCAACCCCAATACGGAGGCGATATTCCTCCTCTCCGTTCGACGAAGGCTGTTTCGAAATACCTCCGGAGGAAGTTGTGCAATTACATCAGTGCCGTTGCTATTACTTGTAGCGATTGCTTTTTGTTTCTTTTACCACATCAAGGACGAACAGCTCTGTTGAATCGAAAGAAAAACATTTTCATTATAAAAAATACAAGAATGTACTTTGTTTTCTTTTGTTTGAACAAATACGTGTTTGTGTTTACCTTTCAAAGAGAAGGGGAGATTTTCTATATGGTTGTGCATATTAGCAAGCTAAAATAAAGAATGGGACATTAGAAATAATCTTGTCAGTAGAAGTTAAGGAGAGGCTAACAGTTCATGCTTAATCCTCTGTGTGGTCACGCTGGCTTCTTGGTGTTATCGTGATGTGTTTGATTAGTTATAGAACATCTGTATTTTCTAGGCAATGAGCCTGTATTATTGTTAATGGCAGAAGCGTTTGGCCCACCGCTTGTCCTAGAACTGATATATACCGTCCCATGTTGGCACATTGACCTGATACGGCGCAACTCGACTAAAGGCAAGTGCATTACCTCGATCTGCCTTAGGATGGCAGTGACAATCGCTAAATAGTTCGTGTAAACCCATCTTTAAACAGACAATGATCTAAAGATCATTGCACCATTTGCCCTTCTCTAGATCTATATATATTTCCAGAAAACTGTTTGATACTTTATGCTATGGCTCAGTGTGGTATAGGGAGAGGATAATATAAAGGGCATTTTAGATCGTATTATGTAGCGTCTAGCTGTTTTTTTTTTAATCTATGGCGAGAAGATTCTCGTTTATTATGTTACAGATTGCGAATATAGTCCATTGATTGGTAGTTTAGGAAGCTTATGCTCAGGCAAGCACATTGCAAAACGACAACCATGTACGCATTAGAAGTTAGTGATCTTGAAGTTAGAACTGCATTGCATGTTTACGCAGATTAATGATTCGGGAAGTTGTAGAAGAAACTAAATTACGTGATGGAATACTTACACTTACTTGGAATATTACTTAACTTAGTGTTAATTTGTTATTAGTGTTTCAAGGACACAGACATCTTTCACACTCGTACCTAATAAAGTATCTAACAAGTGTCGAATAACTCGATTGTATATCGAGTAAATTTTTAAAGAAATATCTTCGAAAAAATATTACAAAACATAAGCCATTTATCACTTATATCATGAGGCCTGAAGGCTTTCACCACGTTTTCACTAAGTTTGGTGCTACAACACTCCCAGACGTACCTCACGCGGTGCGCCTTCCTCTTCCCAATAGCGGTCTTACCTTCTCCACTTTGCGCCACCGTCGAAACAGCTCTTGTTGAATTTTTGCTTTCCTCTATGTCTGTTTCTGGTTGACGTTTCTCGATCGCCCGTCGCTATTGGGCAAGAAGACAAAGAAAGGTTTTCTTTCGCTGTCAGAACATCGGCTGCCATTCCATTCTGACAAATGAAGCTGCCGCTGCGGGTAATGCTAGTGGGGCTTTTGTAATTCGGTGAATGGACGTATATAGGTCGACATATATCATGATTCTGTTGTACATTGACATAAATACGAAACAATCATCGCAATATCATTCGCTTTGGTTATTATTACGGTGTCTATTATGATTATTATTGTTCTGACCACTCCACACGTTCCCTCTCTTGCTTTCTGTTCGGGTACGCTTAAATAGATCACCGTTCAAACTGAAAAGTCATACTTCTCTCTTTTCAATAACCGGGTTGGTATCCTGGATACATCAAGCGTGTTTGACGTAGGTCTCACTGGTTTATGGTATTAAGTATTAAGTTGTGGTTTGTTGATTCGGAGTTCGTACTTCATTGTTGCATTTTGAGCGTGCATTTATATATTCATTTTTTGCTTTGCCACTTCTATTTACACACAAAATAACTTTTTCAATTAACGTTTTTGCTGTACACATCATAAGTCGTATAAAGCATATAAATTATTAATGTTAAATTACCGTATAATAGTGTAGCTACCAGTGCACTAATTGTCCGTTCCGTGGAACAATCATTATAATGGGAGTAGGTTTTAAGGTAACCATAGTATTTATTAGAAGTCTCCTTCGAAAAAGAAACAATGCAGAAAAATTCAAAGAATCTTCTGCGGTTTTAATCAACGGAGAAGTGCAAACGCAGGTTATCTATAGACTCTTTACTAAATGGCTATACGTTCATAGAAGCAGAACATACTGCCGACGGAAAGCCGATGGCGGGAAAAGCAGCAGCTAATCGAATAGATTTTGTCTGCACCGGCAATCTCGATTGAGAGTGAGTGACGCAGGCCCCCTTCTCAATCCTGCTATTACTCCCCTAGTGAAATCCACTATCAACTCAAATCATGTGTGATACTAGCATATAATAAATGAATCCAACATTGGGCAGTAGGACAAGGTGATACGGGCACTGTAAGGCCCTAGAGACATGTTATGAAATAAGTCAGGTATGGACAACGAAAAAAACTTATTCGACAAAACGCGTAAATGTAAACAGTCAGAGACAAGCAATAAATAAATTGTTTATCAATTAAATGCTTATTTGAGTCGTTTTCACATTCTCGCGGAATGAAGTTTGATGCCGTCATTGGGATTCTGGCCTTCGTCTCCCTGCTGGTGCTACGTCCATCAGGCGCCGAGGCTTTCGGCCTAAAAGAAGGTCTCAAGAATCTTGGGTCGTTAGCATTGCTCGGTGGAGCTGCTAGGGCAGGCGTCTTAGAGGAAGCCTTGGTTAAATCTAGTCACAAGCATGAAGAACCTGTTTATCAGCATCATATGAAACACATCCATCTACATTCGTAAGCGAGGTGGAAGTCTTTATCTACGATCTTGCGGCTCTGACATTGTGATTTAGTGTGATGTTGTAAATTTCAGCCGGCTCATTGTAGCGCTATTGTTTTTTTGCTTTTAAAAAGCTTCATTGTACCTGATTCTCAGTACCTAGCTTATCCTAATATGATCAAAAGAAAAACGTGATCTCTACGGTCTGAAGCGGTGAGGTGACCTGCAGCTCTAAATCTCTCATATGGTGGGCTCAATCGAGGTTGAACTTAAAAACGTTAGTGGCAACTGAGTTCGTACCGTCCATTCACACTAGTCACCCGTAAAAGTTACAGTTACCCACGCGCTTACACCATATTTTCCATCGGCTTTTTGCTGATCTTATCCTAGGTCGGAATTCAATTTTATATCAAGTCTACAGAGATGTAATTCTACTAAGTGATTATTATTACTACTACTACTACTACTACTACTACTACTATTTGGTTATTGTTATCATGATTTCTTTGTGCTTCTCTGCTTAGAGTTCGGTAATGGTTGGACAGAATCAATTTATTTAACTGTTGCAGGGTACAGCAGGTGAAGTACGTTCACTATCAACCGTAAGTCAGGTAATCTGTTTTATAATTATTAAATATTTTAGACATTTTCGAAACTTCATATTTGCGGTGCGTCCTCTAGTGTTTCGTATTGGTCCTGCTTGCACTTATGGCCATCGAAGCTGTGACTCGTCAATGATCATCTCTTTTGAAATGGACCGCTGTCCTGAAACAAAATACACCCTGTAGAAAAATGAGATAGACGTTTGCTATAAATATTACGCTGTGGCTGTATTAAAGCGTCCCAAGCATACGAAGAGAGAAAATTCTGCAGAGAGAATAGATATATCTTTTCATTTAATAAAGCGACATAAAAAAATCTCGGGAAAAAAACTGTGTATATGTGCTCATATGTGTATGCGAGGTGTCTCGTTGTTTCATCTTTACAGCGTTCACACCGTGGAAGTCGTTGAAGATTAAGGCTGGGATAAGGACTGGCACGGGGCTTCCAGTGTAGGTAGCCATGGACGATGGTAATGGAAGTTATCAAACAGTCTCTATATCGAAAATTGGATCAATCTACTAGCTGCTATTACATACATATTAAACATCGTACACTTACAAAATCGTGTCCAATAGTTAATATCGAATATCTAAATTGTTATAAGCATCGTGTATATAGACACAAACTTTACTTAGTCATATATTAAAAGTGTGTGGAACATAGACCTTTTAACTATTTGAAAAAAGTCATTTAACAATTGAAAAGCCTTTATTTTACATCTGTTGTAGTAGCAAGAGATGTAATGTAGAAAAAAAAAATAGATATTGGCGATCTATCTCTATCTCTAAAGATTATTGAATACGGCGCAAGGCTAAGTCATAACTCTCCTTATTGCCTTTAATGATATTTTTAAAAGAATCAAAGGCTGGATAATGGGAAAAAGGTACCCCTGACCCTCTCAACGCTGACTTAAGCAACAGGAAAGTTATGGGAACACATGGTTAAGCTAAGATTTTTTCAACTTTAGATTATTAGATCGTGTGATAGCTGGCCGTTGATTTGATGTTAGCTCATTACCATCGATACATATTCATGTAAATATCGGGTTGCCATTTTGTTAAGAGAAAGCAGAATGCAACTCGTAAGACATCATCATTTTTGTTATATAAAAAGTTCGTAAATAAATAAAAAAAAAATATATATATATATTAAACGGAGAAATAAGCGGAATTAATAAATCTGTCTATTAACTACCTTTTGAAATTGTCCGTAGACGTTTACCTCACCCAATCAACGGGCTATTATGATATACAGTACCATAGTGCACATGAAGATTAGATAAAAACTCATGTGTTATAAATATAAACATTTTATACACGTACAATAGTTGCTGATCAAAGCAAATCTGTAGCGACATAGATCGCCGGATGGTTATTTGGAATTTAATCACAGTATCGTATTGACAGAGAATATTTGTTAAAACATTGAAAAATAAAGCTTTGTGTTACTGCTTTACGTTGTCGTCGGTGTCGCTCTCGTGCCATCACAACAGATGGTTTATGAATACCGTTACTAACAAGAACGAAGGACACCACGGCCTCAGTGGGCCGCTATGTGCTATGTTTATGTGCATCGAATTTTCAACATGAACCTCGTATCTCTAGACTAGAAAAATGTTCTTGGCCATTCA